ATTTGACTAGAGTAGATGGATTTAGGTGACAGATCACAAAATTGAAAAAAGACACCTATCTTAAATCTCATAATTAATTATAAATTATTTAACCAACAAACGTGAAAAAATGGTTTTCTCGAGCCAATCGGCTAAGGATGTTCACATACTAGTAGAGATTGCTCAGTTGTAGCCTTTAAGGACTCAAATGAGAGAGTGTAAACTCTTTTTAATAATAACGCAAACATTATACTAATTGAACAAATTAATGGTGATTTAGACTCAATAGCTTAATGGATAATGCATGGGCGTTGAAAGTGAAAGTCTCTGAGTTTGAATCTTTGTGTGAATACTGGGATACAGCGGGTACATTCAGCTGACAAGTCACAAAATAGGACAAAACACGTAATATATATTTATACATCACTTATGACATTAATTCAGCGTCAGTGGAATAATGTTATCTGGTAACTTTTATATTCATTTCTGAAAAGAAAAATATCTGCAAATGAACTAAGAATCAATATGAAATTAGTTCGAATCACAAGTACTTGTACTATTGTTTGTCAACAAAAAAACGACTTGATTATTTTAAGACTACTGTTATTATTAGCATAATTACTTAAAAACAAAAAATATATCAATGTTAGGTAGGTGATAAATAATAAGCTAAAGGTATGTGTATTTATTGTGGACAATATATAAAATATCGGTATCATGTATACTACATTTCTATCAGTTCGATAGTAATATTAACTGGTGAATACAATAAATGTACAAATATACACTTTGACAGATCGATTGTCAGTTTAGATTACTGTATATAAATGAGTTTTCAACATGAGCTGATTTTATTTTGAGGTCAATTATAAAACCAAAGATCTCTGGATAACTGTTTCATCGTAGTAATGGAACTTCTTAAGGATTTACATTGTACAAATTGACTACGATTATGAATATGGACCGTAGATTTTTTATTCAACTGTTGAAAGGTAATGAACTTACCATGATAACTCTAGGTATTGAGTTGAATTCCTGGTGAACCCATAAATGTGCATTCCCTAGTCCCTTTCTCTCTGCATCTTCCATGTATATATAACAAAATTGATTAGCCTACAAAAACTAACTTACTGTGAATAATTTACAGGAAAATATTATTTGGTTGGTTTTAAAATACAAGTTTAAGATATCTATTTGATATTTTTGTTAAATAGCACATAATCTTTTAAGAAAATGAGTTTTTCAATGAATCCTCAATATATATAGTGCAAGCAGTGTCGAGCCACCTAGACTGATGGCCACATTGCTACTTGATCGATAGCATTCGATCAGCACTAAGAAGGACTTGACACGCATGACATTGATCATCACCCAGTGATCAATCATTTGTGATTCATCAACTGTCTCAGACTCTTCTGTCCCTTCGTTTCCATACCAATTACTCTCTGTTCTCGTTCTCTTCTTTTTAATTTTCTCAACCTCCTGCCTCTAAGCATTTCACTTTCGGTTGGGGATAATACGATTTATATCTGTCGACATCAGTAGCACACAACACAGTATTAGTGTCAATAGTATTATTTGTGTTAGTATTACTGTGTTTAATTTAACGACAAAACATGCCTAGTAATTGACCAAATAGTGTACATGACTATAGCAAATATTACATATATATATATATATATATATATATATATATATATATATATATATAGGGAGAGAGAGAGGAATACACTCCAGTTTGTGTATATCCATCTTCGGGGACAGCTGGGAGAGAACGAGGCAATTCAAATCCCACACATAAACACAATTACAGACTGATATATGCTGATACACACATAAAATAAAATACTTATAGTGATTTATAAACGCTATATAACACACTAGCTTTAAATGTAACCATTTATGGTATTTGCACTACCGATCATGGAAAACAATGCAACAACAATAATAATAATACTAATTTGTTCTTTCTATTTATCTAATGACAATGTCACATGTTGATATTTATTTTAAATCTACTAAAAAGTTTCAATAATAGTTAAACAAATAAATAAACAATTCATTAGTGAATATTGAACAGTTCCAATGTTTGTTTATTGTCTTTTTTAGATATTCATAATAAAGATTATTATTATTATTATCTTGTAATAACTATGAATAAATCTTTTCTTAGTGAACAATTCATAATGAATTATCTAATGGGTGGTCGTCAGTAATAGTTCATTCTACAAGTTTAATAAATAATATATGTAAAAATGAAGATGTATCAAACTCATATGAGAGTTATTCCATATTTACTGAACATACTGAAAAAAAAAAGGAAATACTCAATCAGAAACAGTTGTATTGTTCAAATGTTTGCTTAATAATTGAAGACAATTATCAATAGGATATTAGATGAATTTAGATTTCATGATGATTGATGTCTATGCGGAAGAAAAAAACAAGCACTAGACAACTAATTCGTACTTGAATGAGACTTAATAGATTAAAATAATCTCTAGGAAAAATTTTTTCTAAACTAAAAAATGTAAGTCGATTTCGAAGTTAATTCTTGAAATCCTGTCAAGAAATCATGACCTGTGAAGTGATACATTTCATCAGTAGTGATACATTATGATCTCAGTAATTTCACAAAGTCAAAAATCTGTACCACTGATTGAACTCTCGCTGTTAGACTTGAACATCCTGGGTTCTGTCCTCGAATAGGTCGTAGATATACAATTCTCAGTAACTGTCGATATGTGAGGCCTCTCTAAAAACTGATTACAATCATACAAAAGTTCCCTTCAAAGAATGCTATCTAGTCATATGGATGAGTACATTTATTACGGGTTTTTTCAAACTTAGGATTGAGTACACATACATATGATTCAATTTACTTCCATAAACTCTCTCCGATTCGATCTTTTCTGTCGAATAGCAGGGTTCGTGTGTTGAAAGAATATGTATCAGTATCAACTCTCAGATACTGTACGTCACAATAAAGATCAAACAATTTATTGAATATAGGTAGAAATTCATCTATCATGTAAAAGCAATATATACTTTGTAAATGCCTTCGTTTAGTATTACATATCATTTACTCACATAATCCGTTTTTTGATCGGTTGAAGGTCAATCAAGTTTGGTACACTGATTAAACTTGATAATACTTACTTCTGATTGGTAAAATGTTTATCACGTACCGGTGGCTAAAACTACGCATCACTTCGTAGAATTTTGTCCATCGGTCTATGACTTTCCACTAAATTTCCTACATTGGATTAAACTTAATGTTATATATTGAGAATAAGTATAATAACTTGAGGCCAATAGATTAAAATTCAGTAGAATAACTGTCTCCATATGTCATCGATGAATAATTAGTTTACTTGTAATGCAGACGATTCCATAAGTTCCTTAATAAAAAGTTAATAAATCAATTTCAAAGCTGGTTAATATAGGTGGGTATATTATCATTATCATTTACTTTGATATTTAATGGCGACATCAATTGATGTAAGCTGTTTTGCAAAAACTTCTAGCATTACCATTACTGTTTTTTTCTCATTATCATCCATCCTCTCTACAAGTAACTGGAAACATTACTTCAACAATCAACTGTGGAAAATTGATAATATAAAATCATTATAACTTATCAAGAGAATACTTTTTTTCAAACGTTTATATGTTATTACATTTCAGTTTTTATATAATACGTTGAAGAATTTTAATTATTACATTGAATGCTGTGAATTTATGAAACCTAAATGTTGCAAACATTAATAATTCCACATTATTATCCGGATAAATACAATCATGACTTGTCTATCAGTTATTGTTTAATTATGTTAAATCAATAAATTACTTTGTTTACTGTCATGTACATATATGATGTTTTATAGTGTCTCACTCACCCATCGGCTCTTTTACATACATACACACACTCTCATTATATCTTTCTGATTGTCATTTTATTAATGAATTGATATAAAGAGAAGAAAAATAAACTGTACACCTACTGTGTGAATGAATAACTAAAACCAGAATGGGTATCAAATTGATGAGATCATTTACAATTTCCGATATTTATGATAATCATAAGTATGATCATGTATGTGTACGTGTGTGTGTGTGTGTGCAAACACATAGAATTGACGCCAAATATTACAAAAGTAACCACATTAATGCATAAACATTTTTATTATACATATATATAAGGACACCATAATAATAATAATTATTATAATACTAACCTGCTGGGAGGTAATCATAAAACTTATTATTAACATGATAAATTGTCACACACACACACACACGCACACAAAATATGATAAATGTATATTGTGTCGAATTAAGTTTTTATATTTTATTTCTTTTTAAATATTTTAAATAATTATGGTATAAAAATAGTGAATAAGTGAAAAATAAAATTAATAAAGGCTAATCATATTTATCTTTTGACGTTACATTGTTACATGTGAGGTACGTATGTAGTGAATATGTTGTATAACACAGAATAAACTGTTAATTATTATTAAATGAGATAGCAATTAGATTATATTAAATTTTAACTCAAATGTTATAGAGTACATAGATTGTGAATAATAGTGGAATATAATAAAAATTTTCATCCTATTTTGAACTTGTTGACTGAACATTCCTAAGATGTTGATTTTCACACTTAAACTCAAACTATATTTCTGTCAGTCTGAGGTATTGAGCTCAGATAGTCACTAAATTATGTAACAGGTATCAATTTTTATTGCAGGGGTTTGTATCTTCTCGTTGTTGATATTACAGACTAAATTTAATCACTCTCTTTTGATATATTTGCATCTTAGAGAACTAGGTATAAGGTCCGGTTTTCAGTGTGAAAAGAAACACTACAATATGACAGGTATATCCAGCTGACGAGTCTCACATGGAAGCAAGCGTGCATCCTTGAATTCACTGACAGCCAAAATCTGATTTTACAACAGTAGTGAAGAATCGATAATAATAATAATAAGGAATGAAGAAAACAATCAATAACCTACCTTGTTTTTGACTAGTCAATCCCATTTCTTCAATATTACTGTTTTCATTCTCTTCAAATTTTGTGCGTTTCACTTCGGACAAACATGGTTTTCGTGCATGTAGGGATTCATTAAGTTTTCTTTTCTGTTCGGTCATATTCATTTGATTTCGATTGTTTCTCACAATCATATCAATACTACTGCTGCAAATGCTACTGTTTATACTATCAGTAGTACTAAGATTACAAGGGGTAGATTTAGTAATCGTAGAAGTACTGTTTAATATTTCAATAGGTGAACTAATAGTATTCATCATTTCAATTGTTGAAGTCGATATACTGAAGAGATTCGAATCAAACTCATTGATTGATGATGTCTTATGTAATTGTTCATGTTTTTTAGATCCAGGTAAATTACCATATGCAGCTACCGTGGCTGCTGCCAATGCCGCGAAATTTGTTTGAACCATAGATGTATTAGTTAATAGATTAAATTCATTTGTATTTTTATGAGTTTTATTATAATTTCTTAACCAATCATTACAATCATTCAATACCTCATTAATTACAGGCATTAGGGATATATCCTCGGTACTATTATTATTATTTCCAGTGACCATTGAATGACTGATTATTGCTGTGTTAATCGATTTCGGTTGAATTGCTGACAATAACATTTGTGATGATAATAATGAATTTGTAGTTGAACTATTATTATTATTATTATTATTATTATTATTATTATTATTACTGAACGAATTGCCTTCAATGAAATTGAATAAATTCATATCTGACAGTAAAGAATTATGATTTTGTGTAAAATGTAAATGGAATTGTTGGAAATTATCAAACTGTATATTACAATGTGGACATATCCAATAATTATTGTTAACATGATCATGAAGATCATATCCAATGCTCGATGTTGGTTGTTTAATTGCTGTCCATGGAGTAGGTTGTGATTGTGGCGGTGGTAATGGAACTGAAAAACAGGAAAACAAGGGTATTCTTACAACCACTATTAAGTAATCAGTCGAACCGTATAAATGAGATAAATGTTATCAATAGAGGGTGATCGCTCAACATCGTGAACCGACTAAAACTAGAAATGTAAATGATCTTGTATCAATTCCACAGTTAAAATGTTGTGTTCTACTCGAGGTCTGAAGATCCTTAGTTCTATCCCCGATAGGATCATGGATGTGCACTGTTCAAAAGTTTTATATCTTTGGGCGACATATTTGTCTAGTGTCTCTTGATTGTGAACGGTTATTGAACCAAAATTGGTCCGTGTTTTTGAACTACAAACCACTTCTATTTACTATGTTTAGAAATGTTGTCTATGACGCTCCACCCCCAACTTAGTGTTTTGACATAATATCAAATGATAGTATATCATTTTATGAAATCCAATTGTCTCCCACTCACCTATACTTTATCTATCTTTCCATACACTCCCTATTTTCCAAAAGCCTTCTACTGCTCCAATTATAATTAACTGTTTTAAACAAAATTCGTGTTATATATATATATATATATATATATATATATATATATATATATATCGTCATAGTGAATTTATATATTAAGAAATATTATCACTTCTAAAGTTATTAATTGTGGATTTCTTTTTTAGATATTCCAAACATCATGTTGTTTCTTATTTCTTGGAGCCATTATGCATGCACGTCATAGATAAACATGTAAGCGCACGTATATACACTTTTGTATACATAACAAGCGTGGGATCCGGTTAAAATTACCTTTTTTTAAAGTAAAATTGATTGTTATATATATATATATATATATATATATATATAGAGAGAGAGAGAGAGAGAGAGATTTTACATAATGTTTGCATTTTGTGAATTGCAAATCTCACAGTAACTGTATAAACAATTAAATATTTCAGTTAACATAGTTCGGAAACATGTAGACATACATAGAATGGATCATTTTATCCATTATACGTATATAATGTTTTTAAGTATAACACACATGAAAGAATATGAAAATATAGGGAATAGGTAATTCAACTTCGTTCGAATCGGAACAATCATGTGTATAATAATTATTATTATTATCATTGTTATTATTATTAGTAGTAGTAATAGTAATAGTAGTATTGTTGTATTGAGGATAAACAAATAGTGTGAACCTAGTTTCTGACAATAGTCAATAAAACTGATTTATCATTTTCGATTCATTCTCCCCTTCCTATTTGTCTACCTTGTTATCAGGTACATTATCTTGTTCACTCTCTCATTTACTTCCCGATTTCCATTCACAGAAGCACGTACACACTAGCTTACAAAGGTTATATTCAGCAGCGTAATACTACATGAGGGTTAACCGAGTTGTCTTATAACAGACCACAATATGAGTGGGATTTAATTTCGATTCTATTTTTCATATTTGCATCATTCGCATTCTGATTAGCTATTTTTCATGGCCCCTTCCTATATTATTACATAAAAGGTTATACAAGAATAAGCACACACAAATGTATATACGTATATACGGTATACACGTTAGGAAGAAAACAACTGAATCAACAATGAACGAACTAACAATGACGGGTTTTATGAACAAAAAATGGATTTATCAGAATGAGGATTTGTGGAGATTGTAATAAATTTAATAGCTGAATTCATGAGTTAATCTAAGCTAGACTACCACTGAAAACCTGGAAGCACTAAACAGCCGTTGCATGAAGGGTTGAGCTAAATCATGGGTAGATTAAGGCTAGACATTGACACCATTGGGTGCCAGATATTATTTAGTTCTAAGCGTTCAAACTCTAACTTATTTTATAATTAAATTATGTATACGCATCAATCTGTAAGTTATTTTTTTAAGCTGACTGAGCTCAGTGATTAGTGTTTGGATATTATGTTCAGGTAGTAATCATTGAATAAAGTGAAACACGTATCGGGGATTAAATAATTTAATGGACTTGTTTGTGGAGCCAGTATACCAGCAGAGACTAATCGAATGTACCTATCAATTTAGACAGATTAGTGAACCTTAACGAGTAATAGCTAAATATGTACAGGGTTTGGTCCCTCGTAGGGTTATGGGTAAATATTGCTAAGAAGTTCCGTTCAAGAAAGAAACAAATGTGTTGGTGCTCTCTGGTTTTCATATATATAACCTACAAATTAACCGAATCATCATAAAACTCCATTCTACCGAACTACTGATGCAATTATTTACCTCAATGTTGACCGTAGTCACAAGTATTACAGACAGAAAAATGGAAAGATAAATAAATAAACACATATATTTTTACCTTTTAAAGAGAAATTTTCCAAATTCTCAGCTTCGCATTGATTTAATTTACAATCTTTGTACAAGACATTCGGTATATTAAGAGGTAAAGTATTCTCACTACTATGAACAGTATTCCATGATGGATCAATGTTCAATCTATTTACAAACTTTTGTGCATTTTGACTATTTTTAGTAGTAACAGTAGTATCATTGGTAGTTACAGTAGTATGTGATGCTGTTATAGACTCAATAGTAGAATTATTATTATCATTATTAACTTTATTAATTCTTATATCAAGCGGATTATATTCAGTCAATTTCTCAGTCATGTATGCTATTACATAATTCATAACAATTGGTAATGGTAGCATATGTGCAATTGTTAAATGTTTGACAAGATTCTCGATTTCACTATTACCACTACCAATCCCATCATCGTTTCCACCGGTATTCATTATAGACTGACGACAAATGAAACATTGTATAACTGAACGATTATGTGAAAACATCCATCGACCTGTTGAACTAATCCCTGTTGTGTAATTCACTGGTGTTTGTTGTAATGATGATGGTAAGTTCAAGCCGGTTGGAATTGTATCTTTACCAAATGGATTATGATTATAATTATTAGTCTGATTGAAATCTAACAAATTTGCATCATAATGTTTTGAATTTACAAGTGGTACAAAACCGATGATTTGTGATAATTTCTGATGATCTTGTTGGTGATGAGAGTGTGAATGTTGAGATGATGGTGATTGGTGTTGTTGTTTACTTTCATACATTTGTTCCATACTGTTATAAAAACTTTTGATTGGATTAAATGATTGACTTTGTACAACATTCATTAGATTGGAATAATTTAATGCTTTACTAACATTATGAGATAATGTTATTGTTGGAGAAAAATGATTTATTGTTGAAGTAATTGGAGAATTCTGTAAGTCACAATTCAATGTGGATAATTTACTAGAAGAATTTTGAATAGACGAATTTGATGTAGTTTGCTGCTCTACATTGTCTTTAATAAATGGTTCAATACTTTCAATGATTATATTCTAGAAAAAAATATAGAAGAAACAAATGAATTACTAATATATACACAGCTAAAATAGAAAATGGTAAATTTTACAGCTTTAGATTATAGATAAAAATCATTTGGAAAAAAACACATTAAAACCAATTAGCAGTTTACAACTGTTTCGTTCAGGTATATAGCTTTTCATTAATACACATTCATAACTTAACCCGAGATCGAACTCAAAATCTTCGGCTGACATGATAAGCCATTAAATTTCAGACTATTGAGTCGGCATCCTTCGGTGTACATAACAAGTTGATTAGTAGATCTAACCGATCGGGTCATATGATAAACTAATATAACGTATGTTCACTAATGATTAGATCCCAGGTGAATTTTGACAGCTCTAGTAAAAAAACTCGACTAGCTGAGTTCAACTGTGTTGAAAATGAAACAATAATACGTATTAACTAGGATTGGAAATGTGAATTAGGGAATGGTAATGTTAGTGGAGTAGATACACCTTTTTAATTTCATTGCGTGGTGTTGAAGTGATACAGTCACTTGAACTGAAGTACATTTCTGTCACACTCTAAGTCGGTCGTTTCTCACTGATTGACTGAATGAGTGAATGCTAACCCGATAGACTAAAAAGGCACCACACTAGTAGTGATGCTAGAAAGTTATCCGTTCAATCTCTAAAAATACTTTTCAGTAGAGAATACGGAGTACTTTTACAGATTAGGATGAAACATTTGTACAAAACTGTTTCAAACATAAGTTTAAACTTCTCTAAGACACAAACATGCCTACTATTTACCGTGCTTCATTTTAATAACATATTTACTTTAAACTAACTCAAAAAAGAATTATTCCCTATCGACTGGTGCCGTTAACATACACACACATGACTTATTCCCCATGTAAATAAGCTTATTTGTACAAAGCAATATTCATACAAAATACCATTACTACGTCCCAATGCTACTAGAAATTTGCTTTAACCCAACGACCTCAATCTTTATTTATACTATTACTAGTGTTGTTGTATACGAATCTCCAAACTGCCATATTCGAATTTGAATTGATTTATCCATAAAGCATATATATATGTATATAATCGGTAATTCCTAACAGCTTTTGATTTAACATCTGAACAATAAGATGGATTATTTTCACGTTTTTTTCCGACGAAATTCTCCCGTATTATTATTATTATTATTATCTGTACATTTAAACATATTAATAAACAAGAAATATTCATTTATTTATAATTTTGTAGTTTATTTTCGACCTTTTTTGATTAGAACAAAAAAATAAACAAAACACTTAATCAATCAATTTATTATTTTGGCGAATACGTATATATATATATATATATATATATGTTTGATCACTATGCCTAGTTACACTAGTTATAACATTATTAAACAAATATTTATTTTGTTTTCTCCCAAAAAAATAAACAAGTTATTTATTTATCTCTGTTTACACACTAAGATTTATCAATTCAACTAGGATAAATCCGATGATAACTTGTGTATATTTGTCTTTTTTGGATTGTGTCTGTGTGTATGTACTTGCCCAGTTATAGAGTTGACTAGAGTGTAACAATTTAACAAAATAAAATGAATAAGGCAGTCGGAAGGATATTCATAGAGAATTTCTCTCTCTTTGGTTTCTTCTTTAAGCAATATTTTTTTTTATATTTCTTTTAACTTACGTTTTACTCCTCGTTTTGGGTTAGTGATAAATCACTTATTATTTTACGTTCCTTCCCTCCTTATTTTGGAATTACTATTGCATTGTGTGTATGGATGTGTGTGTGTGAGTGCTTACCTGCTTTCTCTATGTTTTTTCTCACACTTAGACACCATTTTTTCTTATAAGTCTCAAGCACCTGCTAAGTGAAATGTGAATATTTGTAGCTTTTTCCTCGCGTTTTTCTCTGTTCGTTTTCCGTGTTGTTGTTGTCTTAACCAGTTTTTAGCCAAAAATATCAACAATGATCGTAAGAATAATTACACGAAAAATAAGGCAGTAAAACCCATCAAAACACAAGCATACTCATTTCATTTGACAGATACTAATTATAATCATAATCAGTAGTATAATGGGCTACTTTTTGTGCTGATATATATAGGCAGTGTATGCCTATGAGATATCATATTTTTGGCCAACCGTTATCCGAAAAGTCAAGTCATTTACTGTTGTGGAATATACACACAAATAATCATATAATTTGTGCATTGTTCCTTTTATTCTATCAGTTTGTCTGGAGTTCACATCTTGTTGTTACAATTTATCAAAATCGAATCGCCGGTTTTTATACCAAATGTGTGTGTGTTTGCATGGGAGAGTGAAAATGTTATTTATTTATTACTTCTTATTATCTGAAAAGGTGAGAATATATTCCGTCCCAGACTCGTCAAACACCTCTCTCTCGCCACAAAAGAAGAAAAAATTGAAAGCAAATAAAAACGAATGATACCATTATCACATTATTACTATTGTCGAATAAATACATGCTCTTAGTAACATTTAGTGGAATAGACAAATGGATTTTTATCCGAAACTTGGTATTTTCTAATTTTCCAGTCAAACTCTATAAGTTACCGAACTTTTACTCACTATATGTCAATCTGTGAATGAGTGAGTGTGGATATATCATGATAGAATCTCTTTAAAAGGCGAATAGAAAGTGTTTAATTATTGCAAATTAATAAATCTATAGTCATTTTCGAAAAAAATGATGTCGATCTTATATAGTTGTTTTGAGAAACTCATATTAATCCTATGGGTCTTTTGCGCACACATGAGGGTGTATGAAATTATTCTAGAACTGAAGGCGAAGAGGTAGGGGTACATTTTTACCATTAAAGAAAGTAAAAATAATCGTTGGCTTCATAGGAGTAAAAAGAAAGTTTATAAATACATTCACATGCAACTAATCCGTTAGTCGCTCGTTACGTAAAAAGTACAGAATAAAATTTCGAAAGACATCACTTTATATATATATATATATATATATATATATATCGCCTACACTGCATTTTAACGGTAGTCATCAAGTCTGTTGAAATGCGATATTTAACACTAACCAGTGATCAATCAGTTGTGTATAACTTCGTCTTGAAGGAGCCCAAATGATCCCTAAATGTAACAGTGATAGTACTATGGGTTGTGAAACTGAGCAACTTGGATTCCAGTTGACCAAGATGTACCAACCCCTGGGGATTTCAATTATGATGAAAGCTAGCTCAAGCAGATCACTTTTTACATCCAATCACCAAACATATATATATTTGCGTCAACTTCAAAGTAAAATATATTTTTATAGACCTATCCTTAATTTGATTTTTTCCGTAAAATTCTTTTTTCGCATGATTCGTTTGATGATATTTTGCTTATTTATTTCGCTAATTAACTAATTTATTTGCCAATTCGATCGAAAGATACATTTCATTATTAAACCGTATATATACTACTAATAAGAGTAATAGCGTCTATTCTTTTTAATTATGATCGTAAACATGATAATAGAAGGAAATATAATGGACATAACACTTACCTATATATATTCATACATTGTTTCATTAAATTGTAACATTTATGAAAAAAACCGAGAAGACATCAGTTAACTGTAAATGAGTGAATTCGTTAAAACATTCTAAATAATAGTTGGATCCAATTACTAGTAGTGATAATAATAATAATAGTTATTATTATTATTATAATCTAATTTGATGTATTCAAACAAACAATAATGTAGTTGTGAACAGATTAGTCTGTTTAACCCATAAAATAAATGTATAAATAGCGGAAAAATAAATATTGTGTCTAAATTGAATAGAACATAGTTTGAGTGATCTATATAAATATGTGTATGTGCGTACATACATGCATTGACAACACTATCGAAAAACAAAAAAATTCACTAATCAACGATTGATGCCTCAAATGTGATATATATATATATATAATAAGAAACTTTTTCGTCCATACAGTATTCCTTATTATTATATCATGCGGTATAGTTCACAAACAAAATGAAAGAATGCAAGGAAGAGTGTAACAGCAACAAATTAGTTTATTTATTTATGGTAAAATGAGATGAAAATAACTGCTTAACCAATACAGTCGTATATTATTACTATTGTTGCCATTATTATTATTATTATTATTATTATTAGTAGTAGTAGTAGTAGTAGTAGTAGTAGCGTGAGTAGTTGTAGTGGTATTGGCGATATCTTTGTGGATTAATTTTTTGAATGTATTACATAAAGATGAATGTACAGAAAAAAATGAATTATTATATTCATTACAAAATTCCTAAATACTTTGTGCCTATTTATGTACACGCATATTTGCTAGCAGATAAACTTCTAAGATTCCCCATTAAAGTTTTGTTAATAGTTGAAGTGAGACAATTTCCCTCTCTATAAAATAATCGGTTGATGATCCGGCCAATTTGTGTGTTAATTGAAGTCGGAACTATATATACAGCTGTATGCTAAAACTAATTGATCTGAAGGTAACGTGCTTACGGAAAGAACCGAATGTTATCTGGTCCCGTTCTAGGTGGAATTATAAATGTCTATGTAGAGTCAGTAAAATAATAGTGAACCCCACCCAAACTAATCCGTCATTCTAAAGTCAGTTCAGCCTTGGAAAAATAGTCAGTTAGCATTTAACTATTCATCTCAGTTTGTTAAGATCAACGATGGTTAACATTAATTAATCGGTGGTACATAGAAGGTGCTTGTGGCAGCTCTATCACATGCTGTTCTTCTCACCGTTTTAATCACTTCTCATTTAAATTTAAATCTGTCTTGTAAGATTTTATCTATTCCCCAGTTGCACTGAGGATACAGGATAGCCGGACCACCAGGCTGTAATTGAACAGGCTAGGAAGTCGTCAGGTGATTTAGCTTTAACGCAAGACTACTCAAGTTAAATTACATCACATCACTCCAACCAAATGTAATGAACTAAAACCATTAGTCGAAAAGCACTTGTGAGCTCACTATATTGAAT